GATGGTGTAAATATAAGCAACTAAGACAGTTGAGGATTTTTTTTTTTAAAGATTTATTTTTTTATTTATGCAAGCACTGGGTACAGTCAGAAGCGCGGGAGGGTGAGAGGATTCACCAGAGCCAGAGCTGGGAACAGAGCAGGCAGACCAACGAAATACACTGCTGAGGGGAGCAGCGGGTGTGGCAGGAGAGGTCTGTCACTCTATGTGGGACCCTTGCTGGTGGCCAGGGATTGAACCGGCGCTGCAGAGGCTGCGGGCAGCTTTGCAGCCCAGCGCTCAACCGCTGCGTCACCAGGGATATTTTCTATGTATAATATAAATTAAAATTTAAAAGAACATAATTTTTATGACTAAATGGCAACTTTTACAAAGCTAAAAAGACCAAAAAAAAAAAAAATCAATATCCTTAACTCTTATAGTGGTTTTAAAAATGTAAACTATTCTCTCACTTTAAATGCACACAGAAATTAAAGATAAGCTTTATCACCATACTGTTATCTAAGACAGGACAGATAGGCCTTTTTAATGAAGAAACAATTAAAAAAATACAGCTTTGACAACCTTGTTTTTCTAGATTTCCAAATAAGTTTGAGCTTCTTTGAATCAGGCGTAAGGTAAGGAGGAATATATCCCTTGTCCTCTTAAGGTCTTCTTGGTATGATCAAGCAAAATAATTAACATTAAACAAATTAGTAAGAGAAAAATAACAAATTTAATTCATACATATGACAAATTTATGCCGCTGTAAATTCTAGAGTAAATGAGGCAGACTTATATTCTTGAACTAGTGAATCAATTAGAGGCCTGAGGCTGCAAAGAGAGGAGTGTCTCATCTAACAAGGAAAGGATAACATATATGACAAAACCAGGTGTTTTAGATATTTGCCCTGCCATAAGATAGGTTTCTTAATAAAAAAAGATTGTTTCTGAAAATTACTCTTCATGTGGGTAATCTTGTTCTTCAACATAATGGTAATCAGTGGTTTCTCTTGAAGCACACAGGCCATCTATTGACCACATTTCAAGGAGACACATTTTAGAAAAAGTCCACCCTGGGCATCTTGGAAAAAGCCTATCTGAGCATTTTATAGATGGGTTATTCTTCACAAATAGCACTAATTTTACAGTGAAGCATCTCTACTTCTCAGGAAGCCTTTATCATTTTAGTCCCTCTTTTCCTTACTGGCCTAGGAAACTTACCTAAGGCCTATACAATACTACATGAATATGGCCTGACTATACAGAGTTCCACACCACCAAAACATCATAGCTTATATATATATAAGGTCACAGATAGACATTGACATAAAACTAATGAATCAGTTAGAAAATAGCACAACTGTAGTTTCTTTAAAATGTTATGTAATAACTAGAGAATGTTTGGAGAAGAAAAAGGCAAGAAATTAAGTATTAGTGTTGCAAAAAGTCATGTCACTAGACTGATTAAACTGACACCAATAGTCTAGAAATATAATAATTTAATAAGGGTAAATGTTATATGCTCTGTTTAAGTTTTTTAAATATGTACAGTCTTCAAAAAGAATCAGATACCTCAGAATTGACCTAAGGAGGACATATACAAGAACTATAAGATATTGTTAAAGGACTTACTTAGATAGTGACATAAGGAGGTAGAGGGATAACCTGTGCTCATGGATGGGGTGAATCAATATAATCAAAATTATTATCCTGTCTAATACAATATAGAAACGTAACACAATACCCATACACCATCCATGTACACCAATAATATTTTTCAAAGAAATTGAACAAAAAAATGAAATTCATATGAATAACAAAAGACCTTGAAAATTAAAAGCAGTCCTGAGAAAAAAGAAGAGAAATGGAGGTATCCTTTACCTGACTTCAAAATTTACTATAAAGCAACAGTATTAAAAACAGTAAAACAGAGGAATGGCTCAGTGGAACAGAATTGAAAGCCTAGAAGTTCTAGGTACATATCAATATCTATGTAATCTATGGTAAAGCAACCGTGACCATATAGTGGGAAAAAGAGTCTTTAATAAAAAGGTGCAGAGAGAACTGGAAAGCCACACATGGAAGAATGAAGTTGGACCTCTCTCTAACACCATACATAAATATAAATTCCAAATGGAATAGAGATTTAGGCATAATGCCTACAACAGTAAAATAAGTAGAAGAAAATATTGGTGATCCATTCCATGGATAAACAATAAAGGTATTTGTTGAGACTTGACCTGTATGGCAAGGGAAATAATTGGAATTACCACCAGTTAAAAAACTTTTATAAAGAGAAAAATACAAGAAGATTGAAAAGACATCCTACTGAGTAGGAGAAAATATTCACATAATATATAGTCAATAAGGGGTTAATAACCAAAATACGTTAAAAGCTTATACAATTTAACTATAGAAAAACAACCCAGTAACATATGGGCAGCAGATATGAACAGACAGTTCATCAAAGAGAATATCCAGATGGCTAATAGATATATTAAAAAAATTCATCACTTCTAGTAAGAGAGATGCAGGTTAAAACCACAGTGAGATATAATCTCACTCTAGTGAGAATGGCACATATAAAAGAAATCCTGGAGAGGATGTAAAGGAAGAGGAACCTTATTACATTGCTGGGGGGAATGTAAGCTGGTATGTCCATTATGGAAAGTGATTTGGATTCATCTTAAAAATATCAAAATGGGACCTCTCCGGTGGCGCAGCGGTTGAGCGCTGGGTTGCGAAGCTGCCCGCAGCCTCTGCAGCGCTGGTTCGATCCCCTGCTGCTCCCCGGCCACTGGAGGAGGGTCCCGCATGGCGTGTGGACCTCTCCTGCTGCCCGCTGCTCCCCTCAGCAGTGTACTTTGGTCCTTCTGTCTGCTCTGCTCCCTGCTCTGGCTCTGGTGAATTCTCTCACCCTTCCGCACTTCTGACTGTGCCCAGTGCTTGTATAAATAAATAAATAAAAGATTTTTTTTAAAAAAAAAAACCAAAATGGAAATACCACATGACCCAGCAATCCTACTCTTAGGCATCTACCCAAACAACATGAGTCATCAATACGAAAATCTATGTGCGGCCTCCCCTTGTGGCGCAGTGGTTGATTGCTGGGCTGTGAAGCTGCCTGCAGCCTCTGCAGTGCTGGTTCCATCCCTGGCCACGGGCGAGGGTCCCACATAGCACAACAGACCTCTCCTGCCGCCCGCTGCTCCCCTCAGCAGTGTACTTCGGTCCTTCTGCCTGCTCTGCTCCCTGCTCTGGCTCTGGTGAATTCTCTCACCCTCCCGCGCTTCTGACTGTACCCAGTGCTTGTATAAATAAATAAATAAATAAATCTTTTTTTAAAAAAAAAAAATCTATGTGGTCTGCAGTGTTTACCACAGCACTTTTTACAATAGCTTGGACATGGAAGGAATCTAAATGCTCATCAATAGGTAGTTGGATCAAGAATGTGATATAGTCACTCAATAAAATACTACTTAGCCATAAGGAAAGAAGAAATACAGCCATTTACAGCCAAATGAAAGGAATTTGAGGGCGTTATGTATAGTAAAGCAAGTAGGAATGACAAGTACTGAATATTTACATAACTAATGATTTGCAAAATACTTACAAAAACTAGTGGATGTTAATAAACATGGATCTCTGAGATTAAGAAGGAGGGGGAAGGAGACAAGGACAAGAGGATAAACGTGATGATGGTGGGGAACAAAAGTTAAATGAAAAGTACATATGGTATCTCATAAACCAGGGAAAGCCCAACAGACAAATGGTAACTACAGAATTTCCCCTTAAACTGGGTTTGTTAAGGAGTGACTGTCTGGTGGCAAGGGAAGGGGCAGAGGCGAAGGCCAAAAGAATTACCTTTAAATTTCATGTATGAAGTAAGCTCTGTTAATTAGCTTTTCAGAGTAAGAAACTGCCCCAGTGTTTAGTAGCTAAAAACATAACCATTTATTTAGCTCTTGCTTCTGTGAGTTAGTTGACAATTTGGGCCTATATCAGCTGGGTGGTTTTTCTGCACTCACTCCTGTGTCTTATCAGCTCGTGGGGAGTTGGAGCTTGTGAGCTAGAATGGCTTCAGATGGATCAACTTGTCCACGTCTTCTCCCAGGCTTCACACTGCAGCCTGGCCAAGTTCTAAGGCTTCTTAAGGCTAGACTCAAAACTAACTTTGTATCACTCCCTCTGAATTCTGTTGACCAAGTCAAATCTCAAGATCACCTACATGTAATGGGTCTGGATATAGGGTCTGTCCCTATATTAGAGGAACTGCAAAGTTACATTACTAAGATGGGGAATAATTGCTTTCTTTGTAAACAGTCTGCCAAGTACAATGTTTTAATAATTGTAGGTCTAGGGCCTCCCTGGTGGTACAGGCAGTTGAGCGCTGCACTATGAAGCTATTCGCAGCCTCTGCAGCGCCCGCAGGCTGGCGAGAATCCCACATGGCGAAGCAGACCTCTCTTGTCTTGCCTGCTGCTCCCCTTAGCAGTGTATTTCTTCAGTCTGCCTGTTCTGCTCCCCAATCTGTCTCCGGTGACTCCTCTCACCCTCCCGCGCATCTGGCCTGTACCCCAATTTTGTATAAAAATAAATAAAAATCTAAAAAAAAAATTTAGGTCTATAAAAGTAGCAGTTTTTAAGTGATGTTTTCATTCACAGTTTACATACTGAGAAACCTCAGCTCCCACTAAGTTGACTATTTACTTTTGTTAATTTGGACAATAACTAATAACTACAAAGATTTTGTTCTACTGAATTATTTGTCAAGACATAGGTAAAATTATGGGTTATAATGTAAACTGTTTTCTTTGTTTCAAAATTAGACAAAAACATCTAAAATGTTCACTGTGTCCCAAAAAAAGTATAAATTTGACATAACAATGTTCTACAAATAGTTAGATGTTGAATAAAAAATTTTGTTAAATAAATTACTAAAAATAAAATATTGTGGAGATTTAATTTTAAATATAGCTATTTGGAATTTTAAGCTTGAACCTTTGTCTTATTTCTAGGAGCTCTGCCAGTGCCGACCTGGAGAGGGAAATTGTTCCTGCTGCAAGGAATGTATGCTGTGTCTTGGCACCCTTTGGGATGAGTGCTGTGATTGTGTTGGTATGTTGACATGCAGTAAAAACTTCTTAGTATTTCTTACCACATACCACAGAATCCTTGACTTTAAGAGACTTTAATGAATATAGATGTATTTTATGACTAGACTAGTATGTGTATAAGACATAGTGGATATATAGAACATTATATATGCTGTGTTTGCTTATATTTGAAGAGTATTTACATACATATTTTTTACTTTTATAGAAAAAGATATAGAAAAAAATTTAAAGGATAGGGAAGTAGGAATAGAGGAACAATGGGGGGAAGTTTACTTTTTATTTAAAATTTTTATATATTGTTAAAATGCTTTTTTAAAGTTTTTTTTTTTTTAATTTATTTATGAATACAAGAACTGGGGTGTAGGCCAGAGGTGCGGAGGGTGGGAGGATTCACCAGAGATAGAGTGGGGAGCAGAAAAGGTGGCTCTACTGAAATACACTGCTGAGGGGAGCAGTGGGCCAGACTGGAAAAGTTTGCTTCCCCACGTGGGTAAACTCCCTGGTTGGGGGATCGACCTTAGCTTGCAGTGGCTGGCAATAGCTTGATCATGCTGAAACTTTAATCCCTGCATCACCAGGGAGGCCCTGTTAAAATATTTTTATAGGAAGCATATATTAAGATTATAAGTAAAAAATAGGCACTTAGCATCTTGATAAATAAGATTATTTTCCTTCTTTATATAAGACTTCTGAAGGAATGCAGGGTATTATTTTCCCCCACCCCTCTCTTAGTTCTTCTCAGGCTCCTTGAGCAACCAAATTAACATCAGATTAGTAGGGGAAAAATAACAAATTTAATGACATACATATGGAGAATGAGTAGATAGAACAAACTGGAGGCTTTTATCCTAGGCTAATGAATGGGATAGGGGGCTGGGGCATCAAGAAAGGTGGGGGTTCTCACATGATAAGGAAAGAGTGTCAGGACAAAATGAGATTTTGTAGATGTTTGCCCTGCCATAGATAGGTTTGTTCAATAAAAGCTATTTCTGGAGATGATCCTAAATTTAAGGGTAGTGTAGGACAGGAATGACCACTGAGCAGGTTTTCTGATCTCATGAAGACTGGGTAAAGGAGGAGTCAGAGTCCTCAGTGGTTTTCTGCAGGCTTTTACTGGGATTTACCCGGTACACAGCAGGCAAGGGTGCTGGGGGGCCGGGAGGCTGGCAGTCCTCCCAGCCCCCAGCAAATCCTCACTCCATCTGGGCTCTCTGGCATTCTCTCTACTTTTCTTCTCTCGACTTCAGTTCATTCTTGGCTTCTACTGGCATCCCCGTGACACCGCCCTTAAAAGCCCAGTCTCAGCCCAGGTGAATCCCATCTTCCTATGCCCACACCCTACTCCAGGTGCCCGCCATCAGGCATGCATTCAAGACAGTGGTGGGAGGGCAGAAAAGCCTGATGCTTTTTACCTTACCCTACAGGTAGTCTTAATTCTTTAAGGTAAAGGAAACAGTTTCTCTTGAAACCCACAGAGCAATAATTATGGACCCATGTCACATTTTTTTTTTTTAAGATTTATTCATTTACACAAGAACCAGGGTACAGGTCAGATGTGCAGGAGGATGAGAGGATTCACCAGGGGCAGAGTAGGGAACAGAACAGTCAGACTGGCGAAATACACTGCTGAGGGGAGCAGTGGGCGAGATAGGAGAGGTCTGCCGCGCCATGTGGGACCCTCACTGGCCAGCCGGAATTGAACCACCACTGCAGAGGCTGCTGACAGCGTCACAGTGCGGCGCTCAACTGCCTGTGCCACCAGGGGAGGCCCCCCATGTCACAATTTTAAATTGCTGCTTATTCAGAAGTCTCTAAAGTTGTCATAAAAACAAATTTGAGGATTACATTATGAGTATATTTTTTTAAAGATTTATTTTTTTATTTATGCATACAACAACTGGGGTGTAGGCCAGAGGTACAGGGGGTGAGAGGATTCACTTGAGACTCAGAGTGTGGAGCAGAACAGGTGGATCCACTGAAATACAGCACTGAGGGGAGCAGTGGGTAAGATAAGAGTGGTCTGCTGAACCATGTGGGTCAGCTATGAGGGGTGGAACCCATACCACTGTGGCTGCTGATAGTTTGATAGCGCTGACTTTAACCCCTGTGGGGACTGATCTCATCAGTCAAGAAATATTTTGTGAAAACAATGGCTAAATGCTTATATAGCATCTCTTATGTTCCAAGCATTTTCCATATAAATGCATTCATCTGTTTTTATAGATGAGGAAACTGAGACCAAAAAGTTTGCATGTCCATACTCTGTGGCTCATTATATTACACAGATTCTTGAGTGTTATTCAGCATCTTGTGTAGATGAAGGTGTGGATAGTGTCATTTGAAAATCAAAGCATTGTAGATTTCATTTGTAGCCATTATAACTCTTAAGCTACTAAATGCTATTGACTTTAATAACTATTTATAACTTGATTTTTCATGATCTTCATAAAGATAATTGGTATTAGACACAAAGCTGTATTCCGTGAACACAAATTTTTCTTTGAATTTAACTAGACCCTCTTAAAATAGTGTATTTAGACTGCATTGTTGTGACTCTTCCTAAAATTGCCTCTGCCCAGCTATGCTTGGCATTATGCACCGACTCTGCATTGAAAGGCATTGTATAACTGTGACAATTCATGAGAGGACAGATGGTGTTGAGATTTTATGTTTGTGAAAGTAGGGCACAGGTTTTAAAAGATTAAGGAAAGCTACTCTAGACAATGGCATGTCCCTATTTCTTAGTGGCTTTATTTGCCTCAGCAATCTTTTTTCCTATCACTGCATCTTCTACAAATTTTTCTTTAAATTTGTAAGTTTGAAAATAATAGGATCTTCAATTTCAGAAAAAGACAGTTGTTGTATTAATTTGATTTATTTTTATAACTATATTTACCTGCTGGAAATTCTGATTTACTCCATGTATAAATGCTGAGGTAACTAAGAGCCAGAGATGAAAACTTTCATCCACTCTGATAGCTCTTTCAAAACGAGATCTCTGATTACATGTTCTGAATCCCATTGCTTGCTTTTCCTGGGTAGCTGTAGGGCATTTTCTGCCTTAAGATCTCTACAGTGGCTTCAGTCTTTTAACCATTTGTTCTTCTAATGTAGCTGCTCTTAAATTTTTTAAAATCTAGGCCCTCTTTGTACTCTAAAATATTAAATCTTTAGATCTGATCCAGCATCACATAGCTATGAAATGGGGCAGGGGGGAAGGGGAAGAAGAGTATTTTAATAGCTTTTTCAGATAATTGTGTATGTTCTTTTTTCCTACTATATCAGTAAACAAGTGGTGATTTCTTAAAAGTTAGTTACAAAGCAGAATCTTAAACCAGATTCTGAAACCTTCTTCATACTCTGTTACATGTAAAACTCATTTGTCTGTCTTGAATTTTAAATGACTTTTACCCATGCAAAATTTGGTAACATATCTTGCCTTGGTCACTTGAAAATTAAGAGTTCACTAAGTTATACCGATATTACAAATATTGACACATTCATTACACAATATTTTTTATTTTATTTTATTATTTTTTTTAATAATAAATTTTATTTTTATATTCCCCATACAATTGCAGCCCCCCATTCTGACCCCAATCCCTCCCCTCCCACCCCCGCCCCCTAAAAGTGTCTCTGATTCGTAGTTTTTTGTTGATTTTGCTTTTCACTTTCTTATAGTTATTCGTTTTCCTGGTCCCTTATTTAAGTTTTCTAGATTCCTGCTATGAGTGAGACCATCCGGTATTTTTCTTTTTCTTTTTGGCTTATTTCGCTGAGCATGATCCCTTCCAGTGCCATCCATGTTGCTGCAAATTGCATGTTTTTATCTTTTTTGAATGCTGAGTAATATTCCATGGTATATATGTACCACATCTTCTTGATCCAGTCATCTATTTTTGGGCATTTGGGTTGTTTCCAAAGCTTAGCTATTGTAAACAGTGCTGCTATAAACATAGGGGTGCAGGTGCTCTTTGGAATTGATGTTTCTGTGTCCTTTGGGTAAATACCTAGGAGTGGAATTGCTGGATCATATGGAAGTTTTATGTTTAGTAGGTCCAGAAATCTCCACACACCTTTCCATAGTGGTTGGACCAGTTTGCACTCCCACCAACAGTGCAGAAGAGTTCCTTTTTCTCCACACCCTCGCCAACATTTGTTGTTGCTAGTTTTTTTAATATGTGCCATTCTCACTGGTGTAAGATGGTATCTCATGGTAGTTTTGATTTGCATTTCCCTGATGACAAGTGATGTTGAACATTTTTCATATGCCTGTTGGCCATTTGCATTTCCTCTTCAGAGAAGTTTCTTTTTAGCTCTTCTGCCCATTTTTTGACTGGATTCTTTTCTTTGTTGTTGTTAAGTCTCATCAGCTCTTTGCAGATTTTTGTGATCAGTCCTTTATCATTACTGTTGGGTGCAAAAATGTTCCCCCAGTTGGTGGGGTTTCTCTTTGTTTTTGTTATTGTCTCTTTTGCTGTGCAGAAGCTCTTTAATTTGATGTAGTCCCAGCTGTTTATCTTCGCCTTCACTATCACTGCTTTGGGTGATGTGTCTGTAAAGATGTCTTTGATGTGCAAATCACGTAGTGTTTCGCCTATATTTCCTTCTATATATTTTATGGTTTCAGGTCTTATGTCTAGTTCTTTAATCCATTTTGAGTTGATTTTTGTGTATGGTGTGAGGTAGTGGTCAAGCTTCATTCTTTTGCATGTAGCGACCCAGTTTTCCCAGCACCATTTATTGAACAAACTTTCTTTGCTCCAATGCATAGTCTTTGCTCCTTTGTCAAAGATTAGTTGACCATAAATCTGTGGGTTTATTTCTGGATTTTCTATTCGATTCCATTGGTCTGTATGTCTGTTCTTGTTCCAATACCATGCAGTTTTGATGATTATGGCTTTGTAGTAGAGTTTGAAGTCTGGGAGTGTGATGCCTCCATTCCCTTCTTTTTTTTTCAGGAGAGCTTTGGCTATTCGGGGTTTTTGGTGATTCCAAATG